CATGTGCTTTTATGTTGAGAACATATTTGATGTTGAGAATCTACAGGGTTATTTTATGAGGAAATGCACGATAATAAAGATTTCTTTGCATAATTTTCAAGCCATATCATCATCAACGAGATTATACTAATTACATCTAAAAACTACTTTGCCATATTGGAGGATGGAAATTGACATTGAGCTTTATTGTTGTATTTCCTATTTTAAAGCAAAGGTTATCATCTATCTCAATTTATATATCCTTTGAAAGGTTATTATTACTAATAGTCTTGTTTGCTAAGCCTGAGCTGCTCCAATGTGTGAACTATATTCTTATTTGAATTGCGTGCTCTGTAAGGCAACTTAGTGCTGGATTTGTATAGTACCATCTTCAGATATTTAAGTTCATTTTACAGGATAGTTGTTCTCTTCATGTTTCGACATAGTACTTTTTAAAATTCTTGTTGGTTGATTTTGTTTTCAGTATTTTGATCTTTTTCCAGCTCTTTTTGCTGCTTTAAGGATTTTTAAATCTAAAGCCTAATTTTATTATCTTGGGATTCAAGACAAAGTATGTAGGTCTTATAATACTTTCATCCCAATTTAAACCAGTGTATTTTATCATGAGTGTGCATATGGAGCTTTATAGAATTTAAATGGATTTTCCAGCTGCCAAATTAGATTATTTCAAAATATCAGCTATGTTTGCCATTCATCTGTTTTTAAAATAGAGATGGTCTGGAATTTGTCCAGAGAGCTCATTAGAGTTCTGAATATTACAGTGAGTTGCCTTCTCCAGTCCTAATCTTTTAGCTCTATAGAAGAGAAATTAACGCTGGGCATTTTCTTCAAACATAAAGCAGGAACACAGAGAATCGTTTTATTATGGCCTTTAGTGGCTTTTACCTCTGCACAAATGTCTGCCTCTTTAATATGGAAAGAACCACTAGACCAGAGATAATATATTTAGTTGGTCTCTTAAGTGGCAAGATGGTAATAAAATTTTATAATTAGTTATTTTTAATATTAGGGAATTTCAAAANAATCTAATGGGATGCTGACAGTTTCCTATTTCTTGATTTGAGCAGTGGTTATGCAAATATTAACTGTAAACATTTATATTTATGCGTTTTTCTGAAGGTATACTATATTTCACATATTCAAAAAATCATTACAAGTAAAACTGGAGTCCATTTTTATTTCTATAAATTTTTAGGTCAATGTATCAAATTTTTGTATTTGAGAAGATGAGTAAGGATTAGACCCTTCTTTTCAGGAACTCACAAATCAAGTGTGGTACATTTACATGAAAACAAATAATTGAAGTATATTGTGATAAATTCGGTTGTACAAATATACATGAAGTCCTGCGTGTGTCAGAGAAAAGGACAGCTAACTATGCCTATACAAAGCAAGGCCTTCCAGAAGATAGGGCCTTGCATCTTGAGAGGCACCCTGGTGTTCTAGAAACAGCATGAATTTTAAAGTTAGACCTAAGTTTGAATCAGCTCTGATACTGTCACTTATTGAAATTAGTCAAGTTACTTAATTTCTATGAGCCTCAGTTTTTTCAATTATATAAAATATAGTTACTATTTGGGTTTTTTTGTAGCTTTGTTTTAAAAATTAGAAAATAAGTAAAGCATCTAGCATAGTATCTTACAATCACAAGAGTTCTTACAAGTAGATATTGGTTGCTTTATTGTTTTCATTAATATTATGTTAATTATCATTATAATGATCATTCTTGATGAATGAATCAGAATTAGCCAGGTGCAGAATCGGTTAAAGGGACATAGATTAAGTGAGAAAGAATGTCAAAGAAGGAGAGGTCTAATAAATTGGAAGAATAGAGAGGATATCAGAGTTTTTATTTCCTTTTTTTTGAGGCATAACTTACATACAGTTAAGTGCACAGCTTTTCAAATTTTTAGTTATGTATGACTACTTTCCAGAT